GCAGAACCGACCCCTCACTCCCCCTCTCGCCCCTCAGTGGTTATCAGCCGGCAGCAACGCCGGGTGCAGCTGATGAGGATCAAGCAGCGGGAGGAGCGGAAGGAGAAGAAGAAGAAGCGGAGGCCCCCCCATCCCCTTCCCCACCCACACAAGGCCCACCTTCCCGAGCCCAGCTACCGACGCAAGCCAACCCCCGTGCGCCGCTTCGACGGGGACGTGCTCTCCCCCGTGAGTGCCGTGCCCCGGGCAGAGCCCTCCCCGGGTGCTGGGACTGTGCGTGGGCCGGGGGGAGGCAGGAGCCCAGCGCTCTGGGAACGGGTGGGCTTCTTACCTGGCACCCCAGGTGGGCTCTGCCCTGCACATTCGCAGCGTTGCATCGTTCTGCCAGAAACCTTCACCGCAGAGTGAAACACAATAAACTAGGGGGAGGGACGGAGCCAGCCCGTGGCCTCCTTGCCCTGCAACTCCCCACGGGCATCAGCCCCGGCCGGGGGCCCCTTTGCCTTCCCCTGCCAGCGCCAGGGCTTCTGGACAGAGACCAGCGCCTGAACCTGCCCCACTTCCGGGGGTGGGGGTGGGGAGAGCTTTCCCATCCTCCGTCCTCAGCTACAGCTGATGGGGGGATGCCAGGTCCTGCACCCCAGTGTGAAGGCATCAGACACCCCCAAACAGCCCCAGTGCCTGCCACCTAAGGGAGCCTCCCGTAGCAGGGCTGTGCCGACCCCCGGGAGTGACCCGGGACTGGGGCACTTCCTGCAGCGTGGGCGGGCAAGACCCTGGCTGAGGTCAGGTGCTGGTGGGTGGCAGAGCTTGGAGCAGGCCCAATGCCAGGTTCATGGGAGAGGGGGCTGGTACCTGCTGTGGGGCAGGGAGTGGCAAGGGGCCGTGGCTGAATCTGAGGCTCCAGGGGACGCTGGGAGCAGCCCGAGGGGAAGGGCTGGGCCGCAGACTAGCCCCAGCGCCGAGCCCAGTGAGCGGGCACCCAGCTGGCGGAGCTGGCAACACCTCCCTGGCTGAGCACCAGCAGGGAGTGACCCCCATTGATCCCCAAACCCTCCTCTCTGCTCCTGACACAGCGCCCCCATCCCAGCACCCTTCCCTCCTCCCCCCACATCCCCCACCCCTGCCCGCCTGCATGCTGGGCGTGGCCAGGGGCTGGCCCTGGCCTCCAGCCTGCTGCCCTCATCAGGGCCGGCTGGCACCAGGGCAGGGAGCAGCTGCCCAGAAAAAGGCCTCAAGGATCAGTGAAATCCATGGCCCCAGCCACTCCCCTCATTTCCTGCCTGTCAAGGTCACTTGCAGTTTGCCCCCCACCTTGCTGCCCCCATCCTGTGCTCTGCTGCCTAGACTCCCCCTGTGGTCCCACCCCTGGGGGGCGAGTGCCCCCTGGCCTTTTCCCCAGACTCCCACACGCTGCCCCAGGCTGCAGAGGGACCCACCGAGCAGGGGGTCAGGGGAGAACCGCCTGGCTGCAGCAACCTGAACCAGGGAATTTACTTCCCCTCCCCGCGGGCGGGCTGGGGTGTGTGGCAGCGGCCCCACCTGCTGGGGAAGGGCTGTACTGCAACAGCCTGGCAGGTCCTTCCCCCAGACCGGCCAGCAGAGACCCAGAGCTGGGGGAGGGGAGAGGGACTGGGGTGGCAGCGGGAGGGCCGGGGACATGATGCTCATTTCCCCCCTCTCTCATGCAGAGCTACATCCAGAGTTTCCGGGAGCGGCAGACGGGGACGTCGCTGAGCAGCCTCATCACAAGCACGCACGCCGTGGTCGACCTGGACTATGACTGCGGCTCTACGGTGCCCTTGACCATGGGCTCTGGCCCAGCTCTTCGGGTATAGCCCAGACCCCCCGACCCCTCGTGACACCAGCAACAGGGCCCCGCCAGGCCAGCACGGACCGACACACCAGGGCCCGGTCAGGGCCAGCACGGACCAGCCCTCCAGACACACCAGGCCAGCAGGAGTCAGATGCCAGGGGGTGTCTGAGGGGAGGGTTGTGGCCCGTTTGGGGCAGGGAGGCCATCCCTGGGGCTGTGTGACGGGGTATGCGCAGGGCTCTGCCCAGTGATCGCTAGCCGGCGAGCAATGCAGGGAGAGGGTTAATCCCGCTCGCTGGCACAGACACTGCATGGCAGCGTGGGACACATGGACTCCTGGAGCAGGGTGAGCGCCCCACCCCCATGGCAGGGGCTGATGAGCCATGGCCCCATGTGCCAAAGGGGCCCCAGAGCACCTGGTACTACCCAGCTTTCTCCCAGAGGCCCCCAGGAGCAGCTCCCTCCGTGCCTGCCCTTAGCCCCCCACTCACCCCCAAGCAGCTCCGTGAGCAGCTTCCCCCATTCTCTGCCCCCCCAGCACAGCCCCGCGACCCCTCTCCCCCCCCCCCCCCCCCCCCCAGGGTAGCTCCATGGTGCCTGTTCCCCCCCCAGCATAGCTCCATGGGGCCTGTTCCCCTAATTCTCTGCCCCCTCCAGCGTAGCTCCATGGTGCCTGTTCCCCACCCCCAGCCTGTACACACCCCAGCTCCCTGGGAGCTGCCCCCTAAAGGCCCTGGGGCAGAGCAGCTCCAGGAGAGGCCGTTCCCTCGGAGAACGGGCCAGGGTAGGTGCTGTCCCATGCCCTCACCATGCGCTCGCCTGCCAGGCACTGGGCTGGGGGCTGTGGGCACCGCCCGCCCGGAGGGGCAGTGTGAGCGCAGCAGCTCTGCTCCCCAGTGCACGTGAGGGATTGTCTCGTCCCCGGGACTGGGCCTCTCATGCCCCAGGGCCAGTGGCTGCCAGGCCTGCCCGGGGCTGGGGCATTTCCGGCTGTGTATGTGGCCCTTCTCCAGCAGGCAGGTCTGCCCTTCGGCCTCATGGCAGCTGGCCCTGGGGCCAGACTGGGCACCCAGCACCGCCCCTGCCACCTGCATCTCACTGTCCATTCTGCTGGCAGAGAACAAGAGGCACCTGGCTGGCGTGAGGCGGGGAACGGACCATGGGGCCTTTCCCCCTCGGGGGCCCTGCCACTGACCCTGGTCAGGATGGGACAGGCTGGCTGGGGGGCTCAGGAATGGAAGCCAAGGCCTTTCCCCTCCTGGGCCGGGGGACTGGCTTGCTCAGGGATATGGGGCCTTTCACCTCTGGGACCGAATCGGGACACGTACTGGCGCTGTTTGCGGGTGACTGGATTTCTAATGGGGATGGGGAGGGAGGGGCCCGACTGGGCTGGGCTGGGGGATTGCAGAGCTGAGGCTGGTGCGCTGGGACGCTTGGGGCTGCATTTTGCAGCTGCGGGGGCACAAAGAAGCGGCCCCTCCATCCAGCTGCTGTGGCAGGACTCCCTGCCCCAGCCCATGGGCTGTTCGTGTTGCTGTGAGTTGTATTAATTTATTACTGACTAAACGGGGCCATCAAACCTGGGATGGACCCGGCCCTCCCCCCAGACTGCAGCGGGGCCCCCAGGAGGCTGCTGGGTCTGGACAGAGCTGGAGGAGGATGGGGCCCTTTGCCGGGCGTTTTGCTAGGGGCTCCCCCAGCACACGCCTCTCCCGCCATCGCTGCCCCAGCCGTCACTGGGCCTGCCCTCCAACGCCCACCAGGGAGCCCAGCCGGCGGACAGGAACCGCGGCTGCTCCCGCCCCCCCCCCAGCCCCACCAGCAGAGGGGCCCCAGCAAATGGACTGGGACCAGGGAACTCCTGCCCCCCTTTCCTTGGGGCGGGGTCGTACCTGCGCACTCAGCCGCAGCATGGCCGGCCCCCTCCCCATCTAGCCATGGGACGCTGCATGTTTCCCTTGCCCCTGAACCCTGGTTTCTTCCCCCTTTTCAGTCGTTTTGTAAATGTGCCAAACGCTGCCAGGCCACAGCCACGCAGTAAAGAGCCTTTTGGAGCCACGCCTCTGTCTGCTTGTGGGGCTGTGCACGGCGCTGGGCGTACCTGGGGCATGGCGTGGGCATGGGGGGGACACAGGGCCATTGCCCCCCCCTTTGCACCCGAGCCTGGGCTGCTCCCTGTGAGCCATGGGGCAGCTTCCCCCAGTTGCGAATGACCAGCTCTGAGCGCGGAGGGGCTGCAGCTGGTGGATCCCACCCCACCCCATGGGGTGCCTCAGAGCCCTGCCCTCAGCAGAGCTAGGATTGGCCCAGGGTGCTGTCAGTCTCTGCAGCACTGGGTGGGACAGGGTTCCCCGATGACCCCCACGTGCTGGTAGCAAGGGGGCAGCGAGGGGGGCATGGATTGGGGACCCGCCGCAGGGGGCCTGGCAGAGTCACCAGCCTCGGGACCAGGGAAAGGCCCCGTCACCATGTGCCCCTCATCCCTCCAGCTCTCACTACGGGGGCATGGCCGTGATTGAGGGGAGGGGAAGCTGCCAGGTGATTTGGGGGCATACGGGGCAGGGGTAGTGCTAGGTGCTTTGGGGACATGGGGAAGCTGGGCACTGCCAGGTAATTTGGCGGCATATGGGGTTGTCCCGGAGTCGCGGGCTGGGACTCGGGCCCCGCGCTGAGTGAAGCCAGCCAGGACTCGGGGGCAGCGTCTCCCCTCAGGGCCCCTCACCAGGGCAAGGAGCCTGCCCGGTTTCAGCCCCTCCTGGGTCCGACCGCGGAGCGTTCGGACCCCCCTTCTCACCTGGGGAGCTCCCCGCAGCGAGTCCCCTGACCCCTGGGGAGCCTCCCACCCCCCAAAGGGCCCTGCCCCCCACTCCGCAGCCAGCCATGACTCCCAGCCAGCGTGGGACACAGACGGGTTCTTAGTCGGGAGCCCAGCGTAGGACAGAGCTTGTGAGCACAGAAATCAGGGACCTGCAGCGAAGTCCAGCTTGGGGGGATCCAGGGCCCAGAGTGCCTCCCCACCGGGTCCCAAACCAGGCGACTGACTCGCTTCCAGCAGCCCAGCCCCAGTCACCCCCGGCTGCCCCCCTGCGGCCTTTGTCTCCTTCCCGGGCAAACAGGGCCCCTGGGCTCTGGTCTCCAGCCCCTCCGGGGGCTCTGGCAGGGGAGGGGACGGGCCGTCAGTTGCTGGGATACGGGGTGTCGGCCATTGTCTGTGCCCAGGCAGCCAGTCGGTGTCACACCTGCCCCAGGGGGTCTCTGCAACAAACACACCCTTTATCCCACCACCTAGATCGGGGTGGGCAAACTACGGCCCGGGGGCCGCACCTGGCCCTTCAGACATTTTATTCTGGCCCTCGAGCTCCCGCCAGGGAGCAGGGCCGGGGGCTTGCCCCCTCCACGTGTGCCATGGCTCCACAGGGCTCCCGGAAGCAGTGGCCAATCTCTCTTCCGGCTCCAACGTGTAGGGGCAGCCAGGAGGCTCCGCACGCTGCCCCCACCACAAGCGCAGCCCCGTAGTTCCCATTGGCCGGGAACTCTGGCCAATGGGAGCTGCAGGAGCGGCGCCTGTGGACGGGGCAGCGCGCAGAGCCTCCTGGCTGCCCCTACATGTAGGAGCCGGAAGAGAGATTGGCCACTGCTTCCGGGAGCCATGTGGAGCCATGGCACACGTGGAGCTGGAGAAGGGACATGCCGCTGCTTCCGGGTGCCTCTTGAGGTAAACGCTGCCCCGAGCCTGCACCTCTGACCCCCTCCCACGCCTCCAACCCTCTGCCCCAGCCCTGCTCCCCCTCCTGCCCTCCAAACCCCTTGGTCCCAGCCTGGAACACCCTCAACCCCTCATCCCCATCCCAGAGCCTGCACCCCCAGCCAGAGCTTGCACCCACACCTGCATCCCAACCCCCTGCCCCAGCCTGGAGCCCCATCCCGCACCCTGAACTCATTTCCAGCCTCACCCCCCACACACCCCAACCCCCCCAATTTTGTGAGCATTCATGGCCCGCCCTACAATTTCCATACCCAGATGTGGCCCTTGGGCCAAAAAGTTTGCCCACCCCTGACCTAGATACTCGAGTGACAAATAGGGGAAACTGAGGCACACACAATATTCACTGAAAACATGAAGCACTTTCCTAATTTGTCACAGGGGCAGGCACACTGCCAGGTGATTTGTACAGGACAGGATGGAGGGAGGGTCTGTGGGTGCTGGGGGCAGGGGACACACACAAGGGCACCATCT